CTGTTAGCGAGTGATCTTTCACCTCCACAACCGTCACCGATGGCACTGCAGTGCATCCGGTGTTGAGTGCTGTGACAGGCATGTCGTTCCCATGATGCACGTAATGTTTATTCCACAGGTAAGGTAAACATGCCGATAAAGCAGGCAATTTATTATGTGTGGTTCGATGCACTCACCGTCTTCTCGCCCCATGCCAAACACATGTTCACACACCAGGCAGTGTGGTTTGACGGGAGTGCCTTCACAGGAATGTGTAAATAACGGAGATGCGTTCGTCTCCAGGATCAGTCGATAACTCGGCGACGTGGAACGAACATTCACCACATCTGTACATTTCAGCACCTCGAACAAGTGGTGGTTCTGTGGCGCCGAAAATGTTCACAGAGGAAGTCCGAAGTTGTCCAACTTTCAGCTTAGAACCTTCAGGAAAGGTCCTATGTTGCAAGACTAGAAACATGAGACATGACCACTACGATCTTTCCTTCCATAACGCTCACGATATGCCGTTGTGAATAGGCGCACTTTTTTCCGGCAAATCGCTGAATCAGTCAGTTAAGCGCCATTTGAGTAAACTTGTTAAAAATCATTTTTGAACTTAGTAAACCAAAAAGATGCAATTTTGTTTATTCTACTTTTCCCCCTTTTCATGTTTATTGAGAAATAGTCTGAAATTAGCAAAACTTTCCCATTTCATGATTCTTTTACGTCACAACCACCACCAACACCACAATCAACACGGCCAGCTGCTCATCATTTTTGTTTCAAAATCGATGGTTAGGTGTGGAATTTTATGCCTTAAATGTGTGTGTAAGTTTTCGATGGTTTTAGTGACATCCTGAGCACAACTTCCAGCTTAGAGCCCTCTGAAAAGGTCCAATGTTGCAAGACCATAAACGTGAGACAACCACTATATGATCTTCTTCTGTCATAACCCTCAAGATAAGCACCTTTGATCACACCAATCAAATTTGCTTCTCATTCTTCAAAGCCAGGTACTGCTTGATTCACCAACGAAATTACCTTCACGATCTACAAAACCAGCTCTCTTCTCGACAGCTCACGTCTGACAGTCACACGTGTTGGTCCACAACAACGACTCACATGGACGCATGTTCCTGCAATGCCACGCTCCCATCACCACGACTTCGCGCTGTCTCAGTAGCTAGCCAAGTGCCCTAATCTGAGAAGCGCCTTCGGTGGTGGTTTTTGAGGAGAGAGCGAGACGAAGGAGGGAAGTAAGGTAGAGGATGAGATGGAGAAGAGACATCGTTTCCATGGCAGCGTGTGGAGGTGCACAGCAGGTGTACTCTCTTCTGTTAACAGATCGTCTTAAGTTAAGTTACAATGATGATGATGATAATAAATGCGAATGACATCACATAATGACCGTAACGACTAATTTGGTGGTGGTGGTGGTGGTGGTGGTGGCGGTAGTGAACTGGGTCTGATTTATCTCCACGTAAGGTGAATGGAAGATAAGAACGAGGCGGGTGGTGTGGGGTGGGCGGGTGCTATAAATCTCGCCCTGACGGTGCACAGTGGCGGCGGTGGAGGAGAGGGTGGAGGTGGCTGCGTCAAGTCCACAAGCCGATGAGAATTCGGAGGTGCATTATTTACTGGGCCGGATGTTGGGCACGTACTACGACGATGAGATATATGCCAGCGTGGATATGCGCACTTTATTCCGGCGAATTGCTGAATCAGTCTGTGCCAACATCGTGGTGACTTTAAGTTCAGCAAATTTTGAGTAAACTTGTCTAAAATCATTTTGAAACTTGGTAAACCAAAAAGGCACGATTTTTATTATTCTACTTAATCCCCATTTCATGTTTATCGGAAAATA